CTGCCTGGCTGTGTGTTTCCTGGACGTGGCCACCTTTTGCAGCTGCTTTTTGTGTCTCTGCTTCTGTCTCCTAGAACCCCAGTGGGCCTCAGCAGATGGCCGCTCACACTGAGCCTGGTTCTGCTGGAGGTTTCTTTCTATTAAAAGGGAGTTTTTCCTCTCCACTGTTGCTAAAAGCATGCTTAGTGTGAGGGATTGCTGAAGAGTCCATGAGTCAATGCAATCAACTGGTTTTCCTTAGATAGAAAACTTTGTATCAATTTGACTGGATGATCTGGTGAACTGTAAAGTGCCTTAAGATGACATGTGTTGTGAATTGGCGCTTTAGAAATAAACTGAATTGAATTGAATTGACCAACACCAGATACAGCACTTGGACTTGCCCAACAGCCGATACCGCACCGTGACCATACCAACTGGTAACATGGAGTGTACACACACATATATATATATATATATATATATATATATATATATATATATATATATATATATATATATGTCATGAGCAATAAATGCATGTAAATTACATGTACATCACCAAATTTGGCACTTCAGTATTATTATAATAAATCAACACATTAGTTTTATTGTGATGGATTTGCATAATATGTTATATTACATGATTTATAGACTTCATTGACTTCATACCGAATATTTAATATGCCAATCCTTTTACTGTAATTTACAGTAATCTACTTATGCAATGAAACAGCCAGCCTGTGTCAAAGTGATTTATCTTTAATTTAAAAGTCTTAAGCTGCCCTGAAAATGAGAACTTCATCGTTGTTCGAAGCTATAGCGCACATACTGTTTACATTGCGACCGGCCTAACTAGGGAGTACCAATATGGTGGCGGGTGACTTCACCCCACCCTGATTTACTAAGGGGCAATCAGCAATCCAGTGAATAAATAGAGATCAGTGGCAGTTCCCCATCAGGTGTTTCGGGATGTGATAACGAACTTCCGCTTTTACTTCTTCGTCGGTTTAAAAAGTGCTGCGCACTTTTTCTTCTTTGTGTTTTAATGGCAGCTGAGATCCATAAGGATCATTCCAGTGCGCTCTTCTAATCTTCTTTATGTTAACAGCAGCGCAAAACGCTACTGTAACTGCTGTTTCTGTCCGCTACATGCTCACGCGCTCTTCTACCGTAATAACTGCCTCCACGCAGCATTTCCCCCCTCATTCATAAAACTTTCAAATCGGGGACATTTCCGGGAACAGGTTAAGCAGGAGACAGGAGGTCCCAAACAGGGACTGTCCCCTGAAATCAGAGACATCTGCTCACCCTGGTTTAGAAGTTCTGAGCTCGGGACCAGTAGGTCCAAATCATAAACTCACCAGCAGAAGAGAAGGCGAAGTAAACAGAGACCAGAATCCGCAACAGCATCACGGCGCTCATCGCTGCCATTTTCTCTAGTTTCGTTTCCGCGTTTCATCTGAAATCAGAACCAGAGAACCGTTATGTGGGAGTGTTCTTAATTAATTAACTTTCTGATACTTTATGACAATGTGAAAAATAATGTGAAGTGATCGTTTGTATAATATCGACTTTATTGTGTTCTCCAAGTGGCGGAAATACCTAAAAAATGTGAACATATTTACTTACACAGTTGGTATTTATTAGAAATCACATGACTCATCAATGACGTAGCCGTCTCATTGACCATATTTGAACGAGAGCTGCCTGCAGCTTCTGGAGCTCGACCGGAAGCGGAGGTTATAAGCCGGAAGTGCATCGTTTCGGAATATGATTTGTTTTTTCATAATTGAAGCTCTAAAACAGCCATCCTACATGATATTAAAAAATATATCACAGCTGCAACCAGGATTTTAAAAATGTAACAAAAACAGTTCTGTAGCTTTAAGCTAGAGAGCAGCTTGGCTTTATTTAGTTTATGAGTTAGAAAAATAGTTTTGACACTTTTTAAGCGAGAAAGTCAATCTCCAAACATCCTCTGGAATCAGTTCATCATGATTATGATCCTGCTGAAATATGCAGTTCTTGCAGAACGCCAGACCTCCTGCATACCGCCGGTATCTCTGCATCAGCCAAGCTTTACTTTTACTGTTTGTAGTGATTATAAAGAGTTATTAAGGTTTGTGGTGAAAATCGCAAGTTCCAGATTATACAATCAAATATGTTTTGTGAGCAGGTTTGAACATTTCTTTTTAATTTGGCTATTTATAAACTTTTTTACCATGGTTCATAAAAAAATGTTTTACCGCAGCAATAATGATCAGAGCTCGCTCTGTTCGTTCTGAATAACAATTCACTATTACGGCTTTTTTTTATACTATGGAGTTTAATCCCTTGATAAATCTTTTCTTATATGCAGACAGCTCACAAAAACAATAACAGCATGTAGTCTACAGTATATCTGTCAGGGTTCTGCCCTCCGTTTATTTTAAGTTTCTTTGTATTTATAGTTGTTTTCTAGCAGTGTTATTTCTGAGTTACTCTCTGTTGCCCCCTTATGTTTGTTTCCTTTCCCATTGGCTTCCTTCTAGATGCTTCCATCCACACCTGTTCCATATTCATCTCATTATTCCATCCTTTGTTCTCTTCCCCTCATATACTCAGTGTCACTCAGTGTTGGTTCCTTGTTGTTGTTTCCTCATCCCTGGCTTCCCAAATGAGTTTTGCCTGATGTTTTCTGGTTTTTTGGTTCTTAGTATTTTGGATTTTTGGATGTCTGCCTCAGTTTTTCATTATATCCGCAAGATTCACCTCTGCCTCATGGTCTCTGCATTTGGGTCCTCAATCAGCCTCCACCTAAATCGTGATATCATCTTCCCCAAAACAAACTCCTTGATCACCTTTTCTGATTAGTTAATGCCCAGGAGAACCGCAGCAAAAGTTAAGATGTTCATTGACATCTGTATCTACAGTGGGGCAAAAAAGTATTTAGTCAGCCACCAATAGTGCAAGTTCTCCCACTTAAAAAGATGAGAGAGGCCGGTAATTTTCATC